AGGGACTAAAACTAAAATGAGGATAAACTCGAAGGATTAAAAATTATATTAATCCTTAAGCAAATAATGAAACAGCACAGCACAAAGGTTCATAATAATTTAATTAAGACTCTTTTTTTTGGCCCATCATATTAATTAAACGTTGCGTGAGTGCGTCCAGTAAAGCTTTAATTTAATGTGCCCAGACGCGTTCTTGACAGCATCTCATATATATATGTGACCTAATGCTAATAACAAGATCTCGCAAATATTAACATTAATATATAATTGAAGTTTGGTGAGATGTATGTTGTCAAGTTCTTTAAGAATATCACAATATGTGTTTTGTGAGATATACACACACGCACACACACACAGATATATATATAAGAATGATTCTAGTACTGTTTTAGGCATCCAGGATTCAACTTAAACAAGATAATGCATGAAAAGATTTAGTAGTTCATGCTTGTCATTATCTTAATTTTAATTTAATTACTTGGCTTCGGTGTACATTACTCGGAGTAGACGATTAAAAAACTAGATATCACGATGATTTCATCATCTCTTCTTAACGTTGAAACATACATTGAGATGGGATTCGAGATTGTCGTTTTGCTTGTGGTCACCATTATTTTTTTTTCTCTTATGGGGTACGGTTTCCCCTTTTCTTTTCTTTTTATTTTTTAATTTTCCCCAAGTATTAGAATGAATAATAGGTGGGCATGAAAACGAAATAAGTTTTAATTTATTAATAAGTAATTAATACCTCTCCAATTCTTATGTAACATACTCCTACGTAATTCTGACTAATAATATATGTAATAAGTTAGATAAATTAAAAAATAATAAATAGAATAATAAAATAGAAAAACAAAAAAGGTCAACTTTTATGAGCGGTGCTCAATCATTTGTGCATGTCTTTTCCTGTTAGGGAATCGGGCCCACTGTGGCCTGATCTCGTGAGGTTTGTGATAATGTTCGGGTTGGTCGCCTTGAGATTTGAGTTTTGGGTCCATGGGAATATTGGCCCACTAAGTACGTCTTCCAACGTGATAAAACAACAATAACGTATGGCTGTCCATCTATTATCATTTAGAAGGTGTTTAGGCAGAAGTAAAATCATAATTTTAAAAATAATTTTACGACATACAAAATAAATATATAGAGAAATTTATCTTGATTTGTAGAAAGTCTTTTTTAAAAATACTTTACTCAAATGTTAAACAATCCCTTAGTCTGCCAAAAAGATTAATTTATTATTTATTGGTGTCATATTTATAATTGAGTCATCCGTTACTATTGAATTTCCCTATCTATTTAAGTTGACATGTCTAAATACAAATTAATGTGCACTTTTTGGGGTCATTTATTCCTTACAAGTTTAAATTTTAATTTTCGTGCAAAGAATTTCCTTTTCGATTGAATAGCATTTTTTTTTTTTAATGTTTTTAAGGATGTATGCGCATGGGAGAGGAAGGATGTGTACTTTTTTTGTTTTTGGCTGATGGAGAAAATAATATTCATCAATACCTCCGACAAAAAAAATTATATTCAATACCTCCGGCAAAAAAAAAAAAAAGATATTCAATACCATGTTAAAAATGTCAAGATACGTACGGGAGATGCTAACAAGAACCAAATCGGAAAAATTTTGGGGGGGGGGTATGAATAAAAATTAGACATCATTCTGTACATTATGTGCTGGAATAGAAATCAAAGGGCAAGGAGGTTTAGGTTGTGGTGGATGGTGACGGGGTTTACCTTAGCCCCCTATTGCTTCTGCAAATTGCTTTCAATATATTGTGGTTGATCCTACAAGATGCACTACATTACAGGTTGTGGTGGGTGGAGAGGGGGTTTATCTCTATGTAGGCATGTGTCTAAACATGAGTATTTGGTTATTTGGTTTAGTTAATGGAAATAATTGAAATAACTGGATAACCAAATATATCATAATGCCGACATCGAACCAAAACCAAATGTAGTGATCTAACTGAACTAAAATAACCAAAATATATTCAGTTTAGTTAGTAAGCTTGTTTGGTTATTGGGCCTTTTTTTAGCCTTTTTTTTTAAAAGTATCATACCCATTCATTAGCCCAGCCAGCACAAAAAGGGTGTAAATAGTAGGAATTATGGATTTTTTGTGCTTTTTTTGTATAATGAATTTGGATATTTGAAAGGTGTAATAAAAGTTATAAATTCCAAAATCAAATATATTTCATTACACAGGACATATGTTATGAGACAAAATAACTAATAATCAACTTCTTTCAAGCATCAATTCATAAGAGCATACAAACTAATAATAAATAAAAATCCAAACATAATTAAAATCCAAACAAACTAACCAAGTACCAACAACATAACATGTAAAATTCAAAATTACAACAAATTCAGCCAATCCTTGTCCCCAAGTTCCTTACATGCAACTTGCGACCAAACGCCAAGTCATCAATAACTACAATTAAATAAGAAAATTAAAGAGTGCACAACTTTAGAGTAAAAAAAAAAAAATTAAACACAAGATTTGTTTAGTCGTTTTTTTCCTATTGCATTTACAATATATCAACAGTTGCCTCCAATACAATTTTTTGCAAATTTACACAAAGAAAAACAAAATCAGACTTCATATATCATAATAAATCAAGCATTATATTATTCTTGTACTGTTATGAAGTAAAAGAAAAATATCACCAATTTCTATCTTTTGAATATCATTATTCCCTTCTTCTACAACATATCAAATTGAGCGTCTAAGCCAATTTTAGACTTTGATACAACTGTGGAAATTAAAGAACTTTGATATTATTCCTTTCTTGCACAGCTTTAGGAGTTAAAGAACTCCTAAATGAATCTAGAACTCGTCCTCCAGCGTTGAATGTAGACTTTGATACAACTGTGGAAATTGGGATATCCAAAACATCTCTTACCAGTAGAGAAAGAATAGGAAAATCTAGGATTATTTAGCTTCCACCAACCTAAAATATCAAAATCTTCTTTATTAACCTCAATTTCTTTATTCAAATATCTACCAACCTTAGTTCTGCTAGTTCTTCTACCAAGACAATCATTTATGAACTCTTGTTCCTCAATATCAAGCAATTTTCTGACTTTTACAATAGGGTCATCATCTTTATGACAATCTTCTTATGTGCTATGCAATGAATCCCTTTCAGATTGGGTTGAGGGGGGAAAAAAGTGTTTATATTCACTATACAAAGGATTAAAAGTTCTTTAACATGCATCCCCAAACTTGTGCCAATTACACTTGTGTGCATTTTACACAAGGCAAATTGCACCCAATCTAATTTATATCGGGAATCAAGAACAACAACAATGTAAAGAAGTTGGTTCATCTTCATAGGATCTTCTCAATACTTATCAAATTTCTCTTTCATTCCATTTGCCATGGAAGCCAACTCCCAGACATCACATTTTGTCTACTCATCCAAAAAATGATATAGCTTATAAATTTCATGAAGAAAAGTATTGGATGTTACAAATAAAGAGCCATATATCCACACAGTAAGTTCATAAAAATAACCCAACATCATGATCATCCTCCTAACATTCTTCCAATCTTCAAACTCAAGTACTCCCTTTCCATCTTGAAGATCAAATGAAAAATAAGGATCTTTATCCTTAAACCTTGTAAAGGCTACTTCAAATTTTTGAGCAATCTCTAACATCAAATAGTTAGAATTCCACCTAGTTGGGACATCTAAGCATAGGATTTGTCTACTTTGAATCTTTTTATCTTCACAACTCTCTTTGAACTTCCTCATTTAAAGAGGTGATTGTCTAATAAAGCAAGCTGCTTCTCTAACCTTTTTCACTGAACTTCTGATTTCTCTCAACCCATCAGTAGCAATCAAGTTGATTATGTGCGTAACATATCTCATATGTGAGAATTGACATTTCATAATTAAGTGACCCCAATTCATAATTTTTCCTTGTAAATATTGAACCATGACATCATTAGAACCGGCATTGTCCACTGTAATTGTGAGCATCCTTTCAATTCCCATTTAAGTAGGCATTTTTCCATTTCCATTCCAATATCCTTTCCTATTTTTATGACTAGAAATTGGAATGAAATTCAAAATCATCTTTCCCAATGTTCATGAATCATCTATGAAATGAGCAGTAATGCACATGTAATTAATTCTTTGAATGGAAGTCCAAGTGTCAGTGGTGAGGCAAACCTTTTGCCTTTTATGCAACAAATAGTCTTTAAATTTAACTTTTTTCTCAATATAAATTCCAAAACAGTCACGAGCAATAGTCCATCTTGATGGAATTTTAAATTTTGGTTAAGTAATGGACATAAATTACCTAAGCCCACTCCTATCAACAAACTTAAAAGGTAATTCATCAGTAATTATTATGCATGACAAGGCTTTTCTAATAGAATCTTGATCAAATTTCCAATTTGCAAAACCTATTTTGTCATCTTCTACACTAAAGTTTAAAGGAGGTTGTGCAAGTTCTTTGGGAGGGAGCTTCAATTTACAAGTACTCAAATGGTTGTTAAGTGTAGTGGTTCCATTAGCTTTTGGATCACATGCAAGATCATTTCCACAATATATAATTGCACTTACCTCTAATTTCACCTTTTTAATTCATAAATTTTGGTGAAATACTCCTAAACTTTTGATCTTGGCTTCATGCTTCTTCTTTTTGTAGTCCCACTTGCTATTAACATTGAAGGCTTCATTGTTTGAGTAGCACCATCATCTCCCGCTTGAGCATTGCCTATGGTTTCACCATGAGAAGACATCTAATTGAATAAAAAAACCTATTTACAATAGATTGTATAAAAAACCAAATGACGCTTTTGAAAAATTGAATTACATGCCAAATCAATTAACACTATTGTTCGGTAAATGTTGAGGAATATTATGTAGAGAATTAAATTTAACACTATCACTCATAGACTCACTAGTCACACCTCACGTAGATACAGAGTAACGTTGTGTGCCTATGTCACTATCGAAGGAGAGAACTGCTCATAGATGATCGAGGAGACTGGAGAGGATGCCACCACACTGGAAGGCTTAGATGAAGCCCAAAAGCTAAGCAATGGGGTTGAGGAGGCCACAATCGATGAAGCTGAGAAGCTGAGTAATGGAGTTGAGGAGGCTAGAAGACATGAAGCAGAGGCGAAGTGCGAATAAATGATGATGGAGGAAAGGACGTCAGAAGCCACAAACCTGAAATTCAAAGAGACGAACAATGGAGGTGAGGAGGCGAGGCAATGACGGTAGACGGATGACAGTGTGATTTGTGGCAGGAGAAGCTAAGAAGGGAAGAAGGACAAAGGCTACGCTGCTGCGGCTTACGCATTTGAGGGCAAGAGTTTTACTGGCCACTTGGTTTCTGGGTCTATTTGTGAGAGTGAGAAGGCAAGAGACTAATGGACTAAAGGAAGTCAGGGACTGACCAAAATATTTTTAAAAAGGGAGAAAAATAAAAGTGAAAAAAGGGAGAAAAAAATAAAATAATAAAAATGGTTTATATTTAGTTATTTGGTTATAACTAAAATATTTTTTTATGGACACCAAACACCGAAATAGCTGAAAAATTAACCAAAATAAAAATAAAAACTGAATTAATTTCTGTTCAGTTCAGTTATCAGTTACGGTTTGGTTTTGCTTACCCTTACATGTGTCATCCATCAAGATGAAGAGGCGGGTGAGAACGACTCATTGTGCTTTTGAGGAAACATCTTGAAACAATACTCATTCCATTCTTTTTTATAAGTAATTTTAGATTCCATCACATAAATAAAAAAAATTAGTTAAAGATAGTAAATAGGTAAAAATTAAAAGTTCTTTCTCTAAAATACCCTTATTTGTGGGAGGAGAGAAAGAGTATAAGAAAGAGAATAAAAAAAATTACTATAATAAAAAAAATATGAAAGAGAGAAAATGTGAATGGAGAAAGATAATAGTTTGGGAAATGAGATAATAAATATATTTGGTATTAAAATAAGTAATTAATATGGGTGAAATAGGAAATTTACTACAAAAATTTAAAATAACTTATAAATGTTGTTTATATTTAGGGGGAAAAAAAGAAAATGGTAGTTGTTACTTATAAAAATAAAAAGAGGAATTACTAAAATTAAGTTGGATTTGAAGTCAAGTTTGAGATGGGGTTGGCCCCAAGGGAATCCCGTTACGAATGTAAATTAAACGCATGTGCAAGAGAAAATAATTAATTCTAGGTTAAACTGACATGGCAGGGCAGAAGCTAAAACCCGGCAGTATCAAATCACTTATAATTAATCTCATAAGAAACCTATGAATTTGATCCAATCAAGTCTTCAATATTCCAACCGTAACTCCAAAATACAGAACTAACAGCATAAATCCAACTATCAAAGCCAATCATACCATTCGCTACATCAAGTCGACCTGCAGTAACTAGTAGCAGTACAAATGAAAATGTATCGAACTTTGAATAACTCAACGAGACAACGTTGGATAAACTACATTAAGTCAAAATCAAAATCTGTTGAACGCGTTTATAACCTTCCTGGCAGTCACTTGCATTCACATCGCTTTCTACCTATCTGTGTATGATCCATGCCTGGGTGGCTTGGGTCAGAGTTTCTAGAATTAATGATTGAATCATTATTGTTGTCAGTAATTCTAATAATTAAGTGAATTAATCCCCCATATATATATAATGAATTAAAAATAGGTAAAAGGGGCGCATCAAATCAGAGACTTTTAGACAAAGGGCTCTGGCTGCGCGATATCCGCCGGATCATTATTGTAGTTACGATTTACTATGTTGACTCCTGACTTGCATAAATTGCTACGGGCATATTAAAAAAAAATTACTATATATTTACAGACACTGTGATGGATATTTTTCCCAGTGAATAAAGATATCGCCCAATGTCTCACACATGTAACATCGTAGCCACAGGTCAGATATGCCCATTTTTAAATGACACATCAACACTTGGTGTACCTTGTTTTTTAAATTCTAAGTTCGGTTCTGGCCGGTCTCCTTTACCAGAACAAGTACACCAGAATATAAGCTATCACTCAGCTCCAAAACCCTCCAATGCTTGTTGATAATAATTCTACTTTTCCCTTCTCTGTTTGATCTCATTTTATCCTTATTTTTCTTTTTCGGCTTTTCCCCAAGTTTCGTGTTCAAATTGCTTTGAACTGCAGAAGCATTCTTGGGGAAGCTTCGTATAAATTCGATCTTCTTTTCTTATTATTATTAATAGTTGGTGTGGGGGGGGGGGAGTGAAATTTGGAACACATGTTGTACTGTTTACTTTAGAGTAAAAAATTTCAGATAATGATGGTACAAAATCAAATACGAGTTAGAAGAGAGGAGAGGCTTTGGGAAGAAATTAAGTTTCAGTGGTGGTAGGTATGAGATATGGAGAAGTAATGCATGCATATCATTTGCTGACGTGGTGCTTCTGAGAAATGAAGGAAAGAAAAAAAGCAATCAAATTCTAATGAAGAAATTAAAGATGGAACCCACTATTTGACCAAACTAATCAACCGAGTGAAGTTATAGCAACGGCATCCTAACATCTAAACGCAGATAATAACTCCATTTTCACACGTGTCTAGGTTATTACGGGGTACGAAGCGTGTACGATCTCTTATATATAATTGATCTTTCACGATTCCTTCCTTTCATCTCTGCCTGCTCTCAGTGATCAGGTCCATCCATCGTCTTCTCCTTATTCCACTGCTCTCTTCCTTCTTTCTAGGTGAGCCACCCTCCTTCTTCAAAACCAGAACAGTTAAGCTTCAAATTTCTCAGAATTAACATTTTGTGGTGTCATTTTGGTGCTACTCAGTGTCTCATCCCGTTTCCAAGTCCACGACGACGAACTTCTTCAGAATCAGATGATGGAAATAACCTCCGCCATGTACTTGCCGGATTTCGTAAGCACCCAAACTCATCAACTATTAATTGTATCATAGTCTGGTATGGAGTTATATTAGTTAAACTAGAGCAGCATGTAACATGAGTTGGACTATTTAATTCAATTTATAAGGGGATGGAGGATACGACAATGCTTGAGCAGTTGCCGGTGGATTATTTTGACGGGCTTGATTTCCAATCGTTGGTCTCCGACAGTTATTCCTCGTACGAGAGTCCCAACTCCGAGAAAACACAGAATCCCCAGTCGATTATTGCCCCACCAGTACCAAGACCAAGCAAGCTGCAGGTGAAGACCAATAAGTCTGATACTGCTTCCAGGCTGATTTCTTTTGGGCACTCCAATATGCACCAATGTTCCAACCAGAGTTCCAATGTTAAGCTCAAAACTATGAATGAAGAAAACGTATTGAATTTTTCGCCTTTGAGCTGCCAAGGATCATACTATGAAGACATAAATGATCAGAAACTGAGGAACACGACGGGCACCGTGACGAGAAATCCACTCCAAGCCCAAGATCACGTCCTGTCCGAACGAAGACGAAGGGAAAAGCTCAACCAGAAGTTCATTGCTCTCTCCTCCATCATTCCGGGCCTCAAGAAGGTAATTTTATTTTATTTTATTTTTAATTAATCATATATTTACCAGGCACAACTAATTAACATCATGCACATTTTAATTTAATGTTTATTCGGCTGCAGATGGACAAGGCTTCAGTGTTGGGAGATGCTATAGAGTACATAAAACAACTGAAGGAACGCGAAAAGATTCTGGAAGAACAAGTCGCCATGAAAAGAAAGGAATCCGCAGTCTTAAAGAGAAGAACTACTCTCTTCGCCGACAATGATAACTCCCCGTCCGATGAAGTTTCCGGCCAGCCACTTGCAGAAATCGAAGCCAGAGTTCTGGGTAAGAATGTGTTCATCAGAATCCAATGCGAGAAACACGAAGGGTGTGAGGCTAAAATTCTGAGAGAATTAGAAAACCTTCATCTCACTGTTCAAAGCAGTAGCATCTTGCCATTCGGGGACGCCACTCTATGTATAACTATCATAGCTCAGGTAAATATATTAATCAAGTTAGCTTATATATGTGTTAATCAATGACGCATTAAATTTCCTTCAAGTCCAGTAATGTCAATTTTTGCATGTTCTTTTTTAATTAGCAGATGGACGATGAGCACAGTATGACAGCAAAGGATTTCGTGGGAAGTCTGAGGAAGGCATTGACATTATTGGATCGTGCATAGATAATAAAAATGGTCTGCGACTAGATTGTCCATTAAGACTTAGGAGTACCCCTACATATAGATTATTATTATTATTCGATTCTGCAGCTGTTATTGTAACTAGTAGTAGAGAGGGTTTTGAGAGGCTTTGACTTTTCCATCTGAATACCTCTTTCTTCCCTCTTTCCCGTTGTGAAAAAGCAGGAAATTGAGGTTCTTGTTTGGTACACAATTAATTTCTAGTTTCCATATTTTTCCTTATTCTCTCTGGTTTTTCCTCTTGTTTTTTGTTTTGGGTTTTCTACGCCTACTCATGAGTCTTGAAGTCGCATATGTCTTCCATATATACAATAATTAACGAGAGTTGAATATGGTGCACTAATTTTAATTACTATTTATTTATTGATTGAATATTATATGTATGAATGTGACACTTGGCATCAAGCCAATGGAGAATTGGATTGTGACCTTAATTGGGAGGCATATTAAATAATTTTGGAATCCTGAAACGTCATCTGATTTTTATGAATTTTATTCACTCTCCCGATCCCAATTTCCAAAACTGCAAATAAACAAATTTGATAAATAAAAATAAGTATGCATTCATACGTAAATATATTAGCGTCCCTGGCCAAAAACTAGTTAAAAGCTTATGAATTATACGATGATTCTCGTGATCAATGATAGTGATGGTCAATAATTTGTCGCGATTATAAACATTAAATCATAGTTAAGTAGTCCATACATAACTATAATTCTCTCTGAATCAAATTTACCCCTCTCCTACCTTCATCTTCTGATATTTTCCCCAAAATGGAATATTTGATATTTTTATAACCCACACCCCCAGTCTCCAAAAATAATCTCATTATAACATTGTCCAGCAGATGAAGCAGTTAAAAAAAAAAGGTCAAGTAGGAGTTCTTTGAGGACTGTTATTAAGAATTAAAAAAAAAAGTGGTCAATAAAATGGAAATAAGAATGAGTCAAAATTTATGGAGTAATAATTTCGAAAAAGAAAGTAAGTTATTCACCAAGAAAATGGGAGAACGCCGACCACATAGACCAACCCAGAAACCGACAAAAACATTGAACCTTAGTTTTCTGGACTGACCCACCTTCTTTCAATTCATTTTCAGGACATTCACACTATATAGTTTTCTGTAGTTTCGCGTTATTGACACTATCGTCATGCTCTCTGCCTCTCTCACATTTCATTTTCAGTAATTCATTGGGGATTTGATTAGACGCCCTTTGACTCAACCGTACGTTCCATATAATGGTCGGTGTTCTTATGTATTGAACATTTGCGTATATGGTTGGTACGCTCTTTTAATTTTACTCTTGTTTTCCGACCACTTTTTAATGTCAAAGAGTTGCACACCAAGTTTGAAGATGGACATATATATCATCACTTTTGTGTTTGTCACACTTAACGAGAATTTCCAACAATCTTCATCTATATAAATCTATGTATAATATGTATGTGTGTATCAATTCAAGCAGCTGGTGGCTAGAATGCAGTGGAATGTTTTGCTTTCTTCCACCCTTTTTTGGCCAATTGTTTTCTTTCTGGCCAATTGTTTTCTTTCTTTTCAACGTTAGCAACGCTTAACGGCTCTTGTACGTCCCACGTAGTTTCTCCGTTTACTTCTAATTCCAAAAATTGCGTGTACTTTTTTTCTTTTACAATTTTTAATTAGTTTTCTTTTTGTTTATTAACTAATCGTTTGGGATCGTGCTAATTCGAATTTAAATTGCATCAGGTTAATTCAATTAAGAAACTCTCTTATCGTAGTAAATCTTCTACTAGTATTGAAGATTATGAAATTTTAAAATTAATTAAAAATAATGAACTATATGATTTCAAGAGTTAATTAAAAATTAATTTGGTATATAGTGTTATATATTTGTGTGCATGTGTTAGTTATTGTTCACACTGCAAATGTACGAGTCGTGACAAGTAATAAACCGATGAGTAAAGTATTGTTCCCATGAGGATTTGGTTTCAAAACTTGATCAAGTATTGATTATCACACTATTGCCTAATTTGAGTGACACAAGTATGAAGAATGAAAAAATTTAAAAATTAGAAATTAATAAAAGCAAATGATTCTTGGACTTCAAGAATAAATTAGGATATAAAATTACTTATCCGCCTTGTATTTAGTAACATTCAATTTAACTCCTCTCATCAAAGCTTTTAATGAAAATATGTGTTAGTCTAGGATTCAAAATGTACTTGTAAAAGCTTTCTCAAGTGAAGAATAAGTGTTTTATTCTATTAATTGCTCAATCTCTTGTTACAATTATAAAACCTAATTTTAAGCTCTAATCCTAAAGTGACTTTGTAAGGTTAGCAAGTATATCTCTATCTTATCAATAAAACTGTCCATAAGTAAACTTTAAGTTCTTACATAATTTTACTCAAGTTCTACACTCAAGCAAGGGGTAAAATGAACAAAACATCTAAATAGTGATCAGGCACTTAGAAGCATTAAGCAACAGGTAAAATAAATACATATATATCATTAATCACAAAATGAGAGAAGAAATCAAGAGTTAACCCATACAAGGGTTCAAAATAATCCTAGAATCAAAGCTTTAGCTACACATGTTTAGAACTCCCATGAGAAAATACATATATTCAGCATAAACACTAAACAAAAGGAAGGAAAAAGAGAATGGAGAAGAAGAACCAAAATGTGAAGTCAAAATCTCTTTCAATCTTCAAACCCCAGCTCAATCTCCACCAAAATCCTTGCCCTAGCATACTAAAGAGCTCCCAAGACAGCCACAACAGTTCAAAATGTCCAGCCATCACGTTTTTCCTTCCATTTAACCCCAAACAACACATCAATAATCAGAACACACAGTAGCAGATTTTTTTTCATTCATTGTGGATTGGCTGTGGTGAATCAACAATGAATAACCATAAATTTCACCCCTCTCGAGCTGCATTTTCCTTTTGTTCGCTTTAGCATTGGCTGTGGTGAACCAACAGCGAATGCATTTGAAAATAAGAATTTTCTGCATTAGTCTTCAGAGCTCTTCCATGCTTCCTTCCAGTTAATCTACACTTCAAGGGTGTCTTACACAGCTTGAAAACACTGGTCTCTATTCTCCTGCTTAAATGAGAAAGATGTTAAGTTCTAACTAGCTCAAAATAATCACAATTATCACAAAATATCACAAAGGCTAGACTAGACACAATGTCCTTAATGACTCTATTTCTAAGTACAATTTAACTCTAGGAACAGGAAGTTAAGGAGGAAAATGTGCTAAAAAGATTAAAAAAAAATTGGAGCTAACAATTATATCGATTTTTGTTGCTATTAATTTTTTTATATAATTATCCAGCATCTAACATTATCAAGTCAAATTTAAGCATGCATGATTGATTGATCGGGTCTGCTTGTGCCATTGTAACGTGACTAAAACACCCTAGAAACAATGATATTATCTTTGCCCATAAATTAAGAAGCGCATATTATTTATTTTGCTAATGGGGTATTCAATTGTAATTGAATAATTCAAGTTTCAGTATTTTCAGAACTAGCTAGCAATTAACAAAGTGGGAATCATTATAATTCTTTCAAAAATTAAAGACATTAATAGAACTAAAATATTCTTCAACAGAGGAGAGTCCTCTATTTCCTTTCCCAGCAGGTCAAAACAGTACCTTGACGTTACAATACGATTTATATATATATATATATATATATATATATATACTGTAAAGTTATTTTAATTTTAAACGATATGCAAAACATCCCACGCATGTATGGGAAAAGATTTCAAAAGGCATACTAAAAATAATCTAGTAATTGCGAACTGACCAAAAACAACAATTATTTATAATAAATATGAAAAAAAAAAAAAACAACAGAAACCAACGAAATAATGTAACGTAGACAATTCAGACCGATTCCAATAATGCAGAGAAAGTAGGGTCCTCCTTCAATAACCATTTGATCATCCTCGATAGAATCATTTGCCATTATGTAAACTTTAATTTGACGTACGCATTGATCAAAATTTCGTACGGCTTTCATTTTAAATGTGTTATGTTGATGTTCGTCAACAAATATATACCTAATCGATATTCCACGTACACAACAGAAATAAAATTAAATCAGCCGTACATATGTTTGATATATATATATATATATATATATATATATAGCCTTAATATGAAATGAAGAAGAACAATAGTCAATAAGCTTGACTTACACGTACGATATTGCCTTTAATTTATACGTAGTACGTAGTAATCATATGCACAACCGCCCAAAAATCTAGAATTTTAGGATTTGGTGCTTCTTGTTTTCAAAGGTATCATTGAGTTCATACATATCAATAATTTAACGTTCAGAATGATTGTCATGCCCATTAATCTTGGTGGAGCTTGTCTTCAGAAACAAAGATATTGAATCACATTATACTCTTCTTGTCCTTTTTGCAATGGTCATTCTAGAATGTTTGATACCACGGTTTTTTATAAGATCCTGAAATTTAAATTAGTTTAGTTCTTTTTATAAGATCCTATTTAGGACCGCCTGAATATTAAACATGTTTTTAGCAAGTTTGCCCCTAATTAATTTTTTGTTTTCTCTCCTTATCTTTTTCTCATACTGCATTCTCATCATTTATCTCATTATTAATATTTCTCTCTTATTTGCCCCTTATTAAATGAAAGTATACTTGGAGGGAAAATGTTTAATTTTTTATATATTTATTTTTTAAACTAATTTTAACTATTTTCTTAAATTACAAAATTTCATTAGAAGGATTTTATAAATAGGATTGGATGAAGCATATTACACTGGAACAAATTGTCTGAATCAGCAATTCTTATTTTGCTCAAAATGCCTTGATGAAAGTACTCTTTTTGGTCTATAATATAAGTCACTTCTAGAAAAATGATTTGGTCTAAAATATTAATCACTCGAGCGTAATTAATGCTTATTTGCCAATTTTACCCCTGCACTTAATGCTTAAATGTAACATTATATTTCCCTCACTCTTTAATTCACAACCTCAACTAATGTGACTAAAATTGAAAAAAAGCAAACATTAATTTGAGACAGATTTAATAAGTTAACTATCACTTAAGTGACTTACAAAAAGTGAGAACATTAATTTGTTGATGACTTTCGATTAATAATGATAATTTTGAAAAAAAAAATCAACTTGAAGGCATTTTTAACGATGTTAATCAAATTTAATTAAATTTCTCGACTTGAATATGCATCAAAAGTGCCTTGTTTTTTGTTTTTTCTAATTGGGGAGGTGGGGTGAAGTTGAAAAGTGCCTTATGTTTAATTCAAGTTTTTGGGGCGGCCCTTATTCCTTTAGGCACGTTACTGGGCGGCCGTTCAACTTTGGCGATCGGTGGGCTCCATGCACCTAGGTTTTCAACATTTCTTTTGGTTTTTGTTTTGGTACAAGGAAGGGCTGAAGCCCAAATTAAAAACTAACTAACATCAAAAGAATCCCTGACATCCATGTTCACCAGGGTCTTCAAATGCACGGGGCAAGAATGAAGAAGGAAGGATCGTGACAAATTAGCTAGAGCATCTGCGGGCTTACTGCACTTCCGCAGGATGTACCTCATCCTGACTTCCCAATTGTACTGTAACATCTCCAATATTCTGAGATAAATGGGACTGCAATTATCACTTCTTTTTTTCTTGTTCAATTTCTCAAGTAATGTCCCGTTGGTTATGATGGAAGAGTTTTTTATAGAAGTGAAAGTGAAAGTGAAATTGATGTTAAAAGTTTGTTTGGTATGCTTATGGAACTATGGGATAAATTTTAATTAATATGCCTATTTATAATGTGAAAAGACTTATTTGCCCTTGACTTCAGAAAAACCCCTTGCCACCATCAGAAAAATAGCCGCCTCACCACAGAAACACCTGCCATAGCAGAAATAACCTTTGCATCTCTCTTTTTTTCTTTTTTCTTTTTTCCTTTTAACAAGCAACAGCCCAAACCCTTCTCACCATCAAGCTTCAACTGTCGAAGAAGATGGAGATGTTTTAGATCTATGGAAGCATGGACTCAAAATTAAAAACCAATGACCTGCCTTCAATTTCGCGTGAAGAACCATCAAAACCCTTTGCTGGCCAGATCAAAAAGCAGAGAAGAAGGGGGAGGAGATCAAATTATACCGTTGCAGATCGAAGTAGATCTAGCACTGTCAAGCATCGTCGCATCCTCCACCATGGCACTGTTGATGAAGGACAATGAGGAGGGAGGGGAGCAATAGATGTAGACAACAATGATCTCATATTGAAGAGGGGTGGGCGACGAAGGTTGAAGTAGCTTGATCTTCATTGTTGCTGGTGGAGTCGGCGTTGGAGTCACCACCATGCACGTTGTCATCATCGGCGTCCTTTCTATGCTGTGGGTTGAGGGGTAAAATGGAGACAACCCCAATTCTCAGGAACTAGAACTTAGTTCCTTGGAGGGCTAATGGAACCTACTTCCATCATTTTTTATGGAAGGGAGTTCAATATGGAAGTACGTTCTCATGTAATAAACAACTTATTTCATGGGTTCCACTTCCACTTTCAATTTTCTAATCCAAGTTCCAATGTATCAAATGGACCATACGTTTTTAGCATTTGATTTAAGCAATACATGTTTAAGGCCAAAATCCCAGGCCAACTTCAATCCTTTAAAAACCGCCCATTCTTCAGCTTCTAAAGGATTGCAGACCCCAATTTGATGGCAAAAGCCAACAATCCAAACACCTCCATGGTCTCGAATAAGGCCGCCACAACCAACCTTTGAAGAGACAAGGATCATGGTGCCATCTACATTAAGTTTAACCCAATCAGGGGAGGAGCAACCCAAACAAGCTCCCTAAAAGATGGTTTAGTTGATGGAACATCCTCTTGAATAATAAGAGAAACATAGTTCTGCCAACAGTTCCTAATAGTACTAGTAGGATCAAGAGGTCTATCTTTAACAGGCTCAAAAATAGAATTATTTCTCCATAATCAAAGTTTCCAAATAGAAACACCCCATACAAGCTCCCCATTATGTTGAATATTCTTCCCTCTTTGCTGCTTTAAATTATCAGAGATCCAGTATGTTTTCAACATTTCACAATCAAATATGAGCTACATTTTATCAACATTTTTTTAACATTTTATTAAAAAAAAAATAGCTACATTTTTCAGTAGTTTACTTTTTTGGGCCAACATTTTAGGCTTTAACAAGAAATGGACTTCGAGTAATAAACTTTTTGAACGCCTAACTTTTGTCATTTTTGTCACATTTTATTTTGGGCCCCTTCATTCGGGTCATTTTAAGCCTTCTTTAGATATTTTGTTGAAAGTTTTTTTTTTTTTTCCATCATAACATTGCAATAAATGACAGTAACCTTGAACCGTTTCTTCCACCGCATTTTAATTACTAGATACTCCTCGTATCTTTAATATAACACATATTTTATAATACAAATTATGCATTATAAAGTAAGTCTTATATAAAGAAAAGAAAGAAGTATTACGTATCCAACCCCAAACGTGCATGGGATAGTGTGCAACTAGTGTTGGTGGCTTATTTTTACAATGATATTTATTTGGGTCAGCTTTTTCTCAAATAGGCTTTTAGGAAAAAAGTCAATTACAAACAAAGCTGAAAATTTGAGCTTTTACCGCGGCAACGAGGAGAGAGAAAATAAGAAGAATGAGAAGAAAGATAAGGGCATTTAAATGCGTCTTATCTTGACCCAGTAATTTGATATTTTTTTTCTTCAAAAAAGAAAAAATTACCTACTAAAATTTAATTATTTTAATTTATTATTTTTCTTGAATTTATCAAATTGTGTAAATATGATATACTACTTTTGCTCTTTAATATAACATCCCAATACACTAATTTGAAGATATTAAAGAAGCTAAATACATCATCACATTAATATCATACTAACTCCGGTCCTAATTATAAGAGCTAGCTGACTAATTTGAGGAGATTAAGGAAATAAATTAAGTTAGTTATTTGTAATAAATAGGTGTTATCTTTCCTAAAATATCTTTGCTAGTCAAGTGTGTTGGATAGAACTACTATTATTAGAAGGACTATCTTAGAAAAAAAATACACAAATATTAGAAACAAAGTGGATTGGGGTCTTATATTTAGGATCAAAATAAAAGTTAAATGATATATTATATTAAGGACTGATATTAGTATAATATAAAACACTACTATTGAATAAAATTCATGTCTTTTTTAATCATTTTATATTTAAACTTACTTTTCTATTAATCATCCCAACAAGTTTCAACCTTTTTAACTTATTTTTTATAAACATCAATTCAAACATAAATCACATTACACTAACTAACTTTGATTCTAACTTAAATTTGCAAAAATAAATTAGAACAAAAGTCAATTTCACCACCACTAATCCAAACACATCTTTAATCTAATAAAAAAAATAGGAGCTTTAAATCTAGTGCTAATAAGTAATAAGGTGAAAGTGGCACCATGCAATTTGCCAAATCTGAGATAATTAAGTCGGCATATAATATTGGATTTAAACTTGAAAATGAAAAAGGTTTTCCTGCCAAACCCATGATACTCGGTCCTCTCTGCACAGGATTTACGGATCTCAGTTATTGCGATTCCAAATTAGGAATAGCACTAACCAAATCAAACCTCACACAGAGGATTTGTGATCTGATCATGGAATGATCACTGAGGCAGGTAACGATGAGGAAGGAGGTGGTGGTGATAGCTTCATTGAGCACAACCTTGGCAGTGGTCGCAGCAGTCGGCTTGATCAAGAAGTGGAAGAAGAAGAAAGAGAAACAACGTAGGCAAACACGAAACCTCGTTCGTAAATTCGCAAGGGAATGTGCCACTCCTGTCAAAACCCTCTGGCTCGTCGCCGACGACTTAGTATCTAACATGAAAGCCTCTCTTGCTTCTTCCTCCATCGAAACCGAAACTCTAAATATGATCATTTCCTACGCTGCACCGCTCCCTAATGGGTACGTAGTTCGTCTTCTCAAAAATGGCTTCCCTGTGTGTTTTTGTTATACAGATAGGTTAAGTCATTTGGCATTATTGACAGAGAAGAGGAAGGTTTCTTCTATGGGGTTAACATGAGAGGCACCAACTTCTTGATCTTGTGTGCTCGTCTCAGAGGAAAGAACAGCCATGTCTCTGACTTAGACAGAGAAGAAATCTCCTTCCCTCCTGATCTCCTGGATGCAACGAGACAGGCATATATCTTCTTCCTTAATTATCATTTAAATTTCCTCCTGTGATTGCTATATAATGAATCTATATATTAACTGTGTGACAGGAAGTGTTTGAGTTTGTGGCGACAGAGATAGCGAAATTTATTTTGGCACATCCACATCCCGAGAAGGAACATTCTAACGTTCCAAAGAAACTTGGGTTCACTTTGTCTAAGCCGGTCGATCAATCTGGTACTACTTTAAACCACTGGAAAACATTCGCCGCAGAAGACCCAGTTGAGTTTGATTTTCACTTTTCACAGTACTTTCGTTGTTGTTATATATGCTCTTGCATGGATGCAATGAGACTAAATATATATATATATATATATATATATATATTGTTATCCCGGAATTAGGTTGGGAAAGGGATGGTGAATGACTTCAGCCAAGCCTTGAAGAACCATGGGATCAACGACATTGAGATTTTTGCAATGGCAAGTACTCACCCTCTCTCTCTATCTATCTCTCTCTCTCTAACACACACAGATAATCATCTAGTTTAACTTGCAAGTCAGTGAAATTTTCAAATGGTGAGTAGGTTGAGGATACTGTAGGGGGTTTGGCTGGAGGAAGATACTATAGCAGAGACAGTGTGGCTGCAGTTACACTGGGAATGAGCACAAATGCTGTTTATGTAGAAGCAGCTCAAGAAGTTCCCAGATGGGATCACCAAAAACCTGCATCAGGCGAGCTGGTTAGTGACCATTAAACACTCCTTAATTCAAAATTAGCCTCTCTTTAACTATGAACCGACTAGTGAAAGGAAATAGGATTAGTAATAATGCAGGTAATTAGCACGGAGTGGAGAAACTTCAAGTCCTCACATCTGCCACTGACAGAATTTGATGATAGTTTAGACGCGGAAAGCCCTAATCCCGGTGGTGAGGTATCATGAATTAGCTGCTTTCATTGCAATGTGTTCCATCATATGCAGACATACATAGACATACGTGGGTGTGTGTGTGTGTGTCCAAATTTGACTCCATCAGAACCTTGTTCCTTTCTTTTGGTTTAATAATTACAGATGTTCGCCAAGGCTGTTTCGGGTAAGTACCTGGGAGAAATTGCGAGACGAGTATTGTTAAAGATAGCTCAGGAAACAGCTCTATTTGGAGATAAAGTACCCCATAATCTTACCATTCCCTACCAGCTGAGGTATGACCCTATCTTGCTAAACAAGAACAACTGACTAACAAATTAACTACATATATATGTATATATATTGGCGTAACTCATTCGGCACTGTGCAGAGCACCCGACATGGGAGCCATGCATCAAGACACATCAGAACATCGAGAAGTAGTGATGGAAAAACTGAGAGATGTTTTCGGGGTAAGGATTACTCAGATAATATATATACTTAGCTTCAAAATTAAGAAAGTTCAGTCTTTTTTTTGAAAGAGTGTGCATGAAAGTGGGGAGTGAACTGTGAACCAGATAACAGATTCGAGTGAGATGGCTCGAGAAGTAGTAGCAGAGGTATGTGACATAGTAACAGAACGAGGAGCACGTCTTGCTGCAGCAGGAATAGTGGGAATAATAAAGAAGCTAGAAAGAACACAAAACAGGAGAAGTGTGGTGACAGTGGAAGGTGGTCTCTATGAACATTATCGTATCTTCCGAAATTACCTTCACAGTGGTGTCTGGGAAATGCTGGGAAATGATCTTTCTGACAATGTCATCATTGAAACTCCTCACGGAGGTGCTGGCACCGGCGCTCTCTTCCTTGCTGCCGCTCAAACACACCATTCTTGATTCTTCTTTAAGAGACAACATTGAAAATGACTTGACACGACAGTGTATTAGGAAACTACAGATCTGTCGTCTTGTCAATTTCTTGTTCTCTGTTTCCCTCCGCATGGAAATAGAGGCCGTTCTAAGTCTGGGAGGCCTGCTTCTTCCATCATCTTGTGCTTGAATTAGATATGAACTTGAACAATTTTTGGTTCTAATGATCTATCTGAACCACAGCCGAGTCGGCATTTTTGTTAGTTTAGTAATGTAAAGTGTGCATGTTTCTATCGGTTACGTTAGTTGCATGCTTTCACAAAAATGGAGCTCTCAAGCTCACTTTGTACACCAATCATCTTACTAATACTACCTCTGATCCTAATTATAAGAGCTAATTGACTAATTTGAGGAGATTAAAGAAGTAGCTGAATTAGTTATTTGTCCTAAATATGTATTATCTTTCCTAAAATATCCTTACTAATCAAGTGCATTAACTAGAACTATCATTATTAGAAGGGCTACTTTAAAAAAAAATGTATGAATATGAGGGACAAAATGGATTGAGATCTTTTATTTAGGATCAAAATAAAAGTCAAATAGAGTTTTATATTAAGACTGGAAGTAGTATGAAATTTATAACAAATCAATACGACGAGTTCTTTCCCAAGTCCCTGTTCAATATAAGGAAGATGTTACCAAGTGGGCCAAACTCAGAATTTGTGCGAGCCTAAATTAACATTTACGAAGCCCAATTAATTTCATAAAGCATACGACTATGGTTTTGTCAATTAGGGTCAATTATGTCTAAAAATCAATATGATATAGTGAAGCAAATGGTTCAGCGTCGCGGTTTTGTACAGAGGAATTTTAAGGAGGGATAGCGAAGCAGAATGGGATGAAGGGCTTGTTAGGAATACAGGTGACAAGAATGATCGAGAAGCTTCAGCTTCAATAATATGTTCTAGGATTGGTTATTATATATAAGTTCAAGAACTAATTAATTATTTATCAAGGTTCAATTGATGAGTAGTTAGTTCTCAAACTTTAACTGCATAAATACTATCTCTGCTCTCTAATATAAAAATTAGTTGAGAGTTAGATTTTGCCTTGAATATAATACTCAATTCACTTTTTTTCTCCTAAATTTATAATTTTTCCTAAAATATCATTATTGATTGTACAAATTAAGGGGTTCTTACTAAGGAGTAATTCACATAATTAAATAAAATAGTTTAGAGAAACTAACACATATTTATTATTAATAACTAACTTAACTAATTTTTTTAATATTTACAAATTAGTTATCTAATTATTACATTAAGAGTTGAAGGCACTATACCATTTCTCGAAGTCAAGAACCAACATGATGAGGCTTGATATGTTTTGAGAATGGATATTGTTCATTTCTGATGTGTAAATGTTTATTTTTACGTTGTAATTGAACTATGTATAGAGGGTGTAAGGTAAGTTTATATTGATATGTGAATATAAAAATTTTTGTGTATCTTAATTCAAGTTGTAATGTAAGGATTAAAATTAAGACTACAAATAGGATTGTTAAACTCATGATAGGGATACAAACTCGAATTATAAATTTGTAAGAGTTTATTTTTACTAATAAGTTGGTATTAAAATTATATAATTAAATAATTAAAATATAAACATGAGAATAATTTCATTTAAATATATTTTGAATCCAAATAATTGAAATTAAATCCATGCGTGTTCATAATTTACCATATTCAATAAAGATATTTCTATGAAATTCATATATATAGTTACAAACATAACTAAATAAAAAAATTAATATGATTTAAAAGTGAGTTGACACGATTTTGTAAGCTAAAATAATAAAAACAATAAACTTGATGGATTAACTCATAAGTTTAACTAAGTTTTTAGTTATTATGAGTTGAAAAGTGAGTTAACACAATTTTATAAACTGAAAGTGTAAAAACATTAACTTAGAGTCAACTCACTTTGAGAACACTGACCGCAAATATTTACAACATTCAATTCAATTATTTAAGGCTCATCATTTGACAACAAGTTGCACTGCGTATCTGGCCACATCTTTTATTTAACACTTGCTCCGAAAATTTATGACTATCACCTCTATTATTTACCACGAGGAGTACAATTTGGTATTCATACATTATTTGTCTTTGCAGAAAAGGACAATGCATAATTTATAATAATTTCATATGTCCATGATCTCTTGGAATAAAAGACTTATGAATTTAGTTTAGGCATATTTTTCCCTTTCAATTATCAGGCTTGATATTCTTAAATTAAAAATAATTTAAAAATATGTGTTGAAGGCTCTAGAAAGAGAGAAATTTACGTGGTCAAAGAAATTGCTGTGAGATAATGGTTAATGACAAATGTGCATAGTGGCTCTCTAAGATTCAATACAATTTTTGAGATTTAAAGTTTAAACATGTGAACAAATACAAATTATTTGCATCAGGACGCATTTGTGTTTGTCTATAAGATATACTCCTATGATTTTAAACATAAGACCCATTTTGTAGTATAAATTACACTATAACATGGTTCTCACATTTTGTAGTGTAAATTACACTACAAAATGAGTCTTACAATTGGGATTAGAAGAGTACCAATTTTGAGTATAGATATTATTGATTTTCACTTTTAAAAAAGAAAGAAAGATTAATTCAATTAATGTATAAATTTGCAAAGGATGTAATAAGTCCAGTAAAATTTGTAGTGAAGTAATGAATCTTAGAGAATGATGATTGCTACATTGTCATAGTTTAGCTTCAATCAACATATGTCTTAACCCTAAATATAAGGTCCATTTTATAATACAAAATAGGTAGAACTGGATAAGTATCTAGATATGTAATGTTTTTTTTTTTAAGTATCTTTGGAAATATGAACCTGGACAAAGTGAATTATGGGAAGAATATTAGTATGGGATGATATTATGAGATTATAATACTATTGTATTGGCTTTTGGAGCCAAGGAATATGATCATTAGTGATATAGTCTGCTTAACTTAATGATGATGAATACAATGAGTATGTTGGACTCATCTTTAACCTAAAACGTGAAGTGTGCATTTAATTTAGACATTTTAAATTTTAAATATTTTACATTTTAGTTTATAAAATTATCTTTTGAGTCATTAATAAATAAAAATTGATCTTCTATGTTAAACTCTATTTATAGTGAAATAAGAAGTTAAATTACGAAAATAGTACAGAAATGTAAATTATTTAAGTGTGATTTGGTGCTTTGATGCACAAACGATACCAATTTTAACTATCAAAATTGCAGATTTCTTAAAATATATCCAAACATCCACTATTAGAGCCAAAATAATACATATACGTGTATATATGTACACATGTATATTTATACATAATGTAAAAAAATTTTTTTTTTTTAAAAAGTGCATTATTCATAGGCAGGGGAACAAACATCACGGCCCATGCAAAAACATTGGACTCAAATTATTGTTTCACCAAACGGATTTCTTTCTTTTCTTTTCTTTTCTTTTTTCCCTTTTTGCCAACCACTAAACGGATTGACTTGTGTAATAAAAATTGACCAATATTTAAAAATCTGATCAAATTATTAGTTTTTTTCCCCCTTAAATCTATTATTATCAGTGAAAGTCACCGTCGAGAAAACTGTTGTCACTAATTTACATGCAATATAAATAAATAAATATATTATATATAACGATAATAGCAGAGCCCAGTGGCAGTGTGGCCCAGTTAGGTGACGACACACTAAATATCACTGTCCGGGGTCCATTTTCTGGTTAAGAAATCAAATACATGTAATCCTATCATTGTACCAAACTGTCCAGTGTGTATTTTAGTTACTCCACGTTTTGATTATATAACACCATGTCTTATCATTCTTAATATCAAATCATTCATTTTTTTGTTGAAAAAAATATAAAATTAGATAACTATATGAAAGTGAATATAGTTTTTTTTTTAAAGAAAAAAAACAGAGTGAGTACAACAGAGGTGGGGTATGATATTAATAATATGTCTCTTTCGTTCCCGTAAAAAGCATAGCAAAAGGATCTTTTGAAATTTGGTTTTTTATAAGACAAATAAAAGTGCGACACAGTAAATGTCATTTCCCAGTTAGCTTTATAATGACAATAAGTAAATAAATACAAAGAAAAAAGAGGCTTGCTGTTACGTTACAAACATCAACAAATTGAGAGGCATCAAAATAGTCCTCTGCCCACCAAACGAAGGTTAGGTTTAATAGAAGAAACTAGTCCCTCATGACATGATGAATCAATGTTCAAATTTTCACTCAGAGAGGTGCTCACATTTAATGCCACTCAGAAAGGTGCTCACATTTAATGCCTAACAGTGTCTCGATTACCTCAAATAGAAAAATACTTACATTTTGATAAAAAAGAACAAATAGTGCTTTGGCCCATCTCACTTCCTCTTTTCCAACTTTCCACCTTCTTTCTGTCACATTCTCCAATTTAAAGTAACACCGTCCACTCAAAAATTCACATCTATCAACAATAGTTGAATTTTAGGCATAATTTTGGTTTCAATTTTGTTAATTAGATGAAAAGAATCACCCCATATGAGCTATCCTTATTTTGATTTTGATCTGAATTTTAATTACTTGATAATGCGCCAAATTATTATTAGTAGCTAGATTGAGAGTTCCAACCTCATGGTGTAAAAAAGACAAGTTGAAGAAGTTATCACCAATTGAACATAATACTAACGTTTAAATCTAGCCCAGTAATATTGGATCCCAAATAATTAATAATATCAAAAAAAGGAAAGAAAAGCGATAGTAATAAGAAAAAATTGTTGAAAAATCTCCCAATTTGTAAATTTATTGTCCAAATGTATTTAAGGACCATATCCTTGAGTAGCTCAAGGGGAACCCATCTTCAGCGAAAGCAATTTTTTTTAGCCCTATGTAGCATATTTTTAATTATATGCAAATATCTTCTGTTTTACTACATAATTTAAAAAAGAGTTACATCCATTAAAAATAG